GGAAGCCTGGCAATCCTGGTACCATAGGAATGCGACCGTCGGAACGAAAAAACAAAACAAATTTTTATGTCCCCCCTCTCTCCCTTCCTTTTGCCTCGCGTCCCTGTTCAGATCCAAACCGCCCACTTCAACGGAGGCATTAGGCATTACTTAGAGCCCCCTCCCCCCCGACTCCGCGAAGAAAGGGTACGTCTACTTTACCGCCCTTGCTCGCAAGGCGGCAACCACTTTGGCGATAAAAAAGAGCTCGAGTTCACGCTGCGAATTGTCTACGGTTCATTTTTAAAGGTCTATTTTAGAGAGTTCAAGTGGATTTATCAAGAATTCCATTTGATTCAGGTTCTTTTCTAGAAGTCTTGTTTTGCGATAACGAAACATTATCCTCCTTGTCAAGAGGAAGGACTAATTGGCTTCCCATTGTAGACTTTGATGTTTCCATAGAATAGTTCGGCATAAATTCCAAAACTTGCATCGATAGCCTAGACTGACCATTTACATAACCATTTTTCAAATGGACTACATTAGTAGAATTCTCCGATAAGATCGAGGAAATAGCTTTTCGATATACATATATAAAAATTGTTAAATGTACAAAATCTGCCTTTTTTGAAATTTCGTTTTTATAACGAATAAAAAAATATAATAACGAATAAAAATAATTTTTATAAATTATCTCTATCCAGCTATTTTCCCTTCAGTAAAAATATCTAGTACTATCATATTTCGATTGAATAAATTTTCACTTTCATAAAATTTTGAATATTAACATTGTACGTGAGAAAAATATAATTTTTGTTGATTATGATTATTTTTATGAACAGCTCTGAATAATGCCCAAGTTGATCGCAGATTTGTAATTTAAAATAGATCATCACGTTGCCGGGGTGAGACACGAGCGTGGGAAGAGGCTCTGGTTCGATGTGTCCGAGATACCACCTGAAGAATACATAATCGGCGCTGAGCTTAGGCTGTATCAAAGTACACATGTGAAAAATCGAAAGAATCATGGCTCCCACACGATCACGGTGTATCAAGTGTTGAAGATCGAAAACGGGTAAGAAGAACTATCTATATTTATATCGCGTCTGGAGCAAATGGATACCGATGTATTTCGATACATTTTTAGGAGTTGCTAATGCAAAAAGTCTAGATTAAAATTCCGAGAAACTTGAACATTAAAGAACATTTTTATGTTACAATAATAAAGTTAAAATAAAAGACTATTCGCTTTTATACCAAGGACGCTTAGGTTAAACCAATTTCATATTCCTCCGGGCATCCTTCGCGGTTTTTGACATCGTCATCGTACCTCTAATTAGGAGGTCCTTAATCCTTCGCCGAAAGAGTCTCAGGCATTTATTCTACCTGGAACAAGAAGAATACTTCAAGTATTCTACCAAACATCCTCTTTCATATATCTTCAACTTTCTCTCTCTCTCTCTCTCTCTCTCTCTCTCTTCTTCTTCTT